GGGGGGGGGGGCAGGGGGTGCTCAAACACCCAGCAGGTAGCTTGCTAGGCTCTGTGGCAAGGGACCACTCTTGCCTGACCCTGCATTTCACAGGTAAGTGCCATGGGGATAAGGTCAATTGAGTGCCAACTGGGAGATCTATTTTGGCTGCTGGCTTCTTTTTTCCTCCTAATGCCCAGCTTCTGTTTGTTGTTCGTGACGTATCCCAGGTGCATCCCGAGGAATCAAAGAGATAGCTCAGATCAGTCCCTCTGCTCCTATCGATGCTCACGTAGGGAAGGGCTCATCTGGAGAGGTCAGTGGTGGGGCTGCCCTGACTCCACAACCCAGAAGCTCCTCTTGAACCCCTCCAAACCCAGATGACCCCCTGAGGGTCTTCCCCTCCCCACCCCCAACCCCCCACCCCACCCTTCCACCTCCTGGTAAGGAGAAGCATATCCTCAGAACCCATTCTGCTGTCCTCTAATCCAGTGATCTCCAAATGCCAGAGGAATGAAGAGGCACTGAAGGTACCTTTGAAAAGCAGGCAGTCCTGGGCCCTCTCCCAGAAATTCTGTGTGTTTGGGGGACGGTCCAGGAATCCCTGATTTTAAGACAAGCCCCCCAGGTGATTCTGATGCGCGTTAGGTTTGGGAGCCAGCCATTTGACCTGCTGTGCCCAGATGCCAGAGTTATCAGAGCTAGAGTCCTCACCGCCCCCCACCCCCAATCCCTCTCATTCCTGTTCTGGACAAGTTCACCGGCCAAGGGAACCCCAGGAGGACATGCTGACCTGACCCTCAAAGAGAATGAAATCAAGACAAAAAGATGAAGCCGCTCTGGATCGCAGTTTAGAAAGGGACCCTTCCCCCCCCAGCTTTTAGAAGTAGACCTTCACAGAAACATGGAATGGTACCTTGAACCTCGCAAGGTACGGGCTGGGACCCATGGGCTTCCCATGCCCGTTGCCAGGTGAACTTTCCTGTGAGGTGGCGTCTCTCAGCTCCACCCCGGCCGCAGAGTCCCACAGGAATCCAGAGAATCCAGCCCCCTGCGGGAGAGGAAGAGCTATCAGTCTGAATCAGGATTCAGCCCCAAGCTGGGAGAAGAGGAAGGGGAAACCAGGAGGAGACGCGCGTGTGTG